GTGTAACGGTGATTCATCGTGTAACGGTGACTCATCGTGTAACGGTGATTCATCGTGTAACGGTGATTCATCGTGTAACGGTGATTCATCGTGTAACGGTGACTCATCGTGTAACGGTGATTCATCGTGTAACGGTGATTCATCGTGTAACGGTGATTCATCGTGTAACGGTGACTCATCGTGTAACGGTGATTCATCGTGTAACGGTGACTCATCGTGTAACGGTGATTCATCGTGTAACGGTGATTCATCGTGTAACGGTGATTCATCGTGTAACGGTGACTCATCGTGTAACGGTGATTCATCGTGTAACGGTGATTCATCGTGTAACGGTGACTCATCGTGTAACGGTGATTCATCGTGTAACGGTGACTCATCGTGTAACGGTGATTCATCGTGTAACGGTGATTCATCGTGTAACGGTGACTCATCGTGTAACGGTGATTCATCGTGTAACGGTGATTCATCGTGTAACGGTGATTCATCGTGTAACGGTGACTCATCGTGTAACGGTGATTCATCGTGTAACGGTGAATCATCGTGTTCGGTGATTCATCGTGTTCGGTGAATCATCGTGTTCGGTGATTCATCGTTTTCGGTGAATCATCGTGTTCGGTGATTCATCGTGTTCGGTGAATCATCGTGTTCGGTGAATCATCGTGTTCGGTGATTCATCGTTTTCGGTTATAAAAAGTCTACTTAAGCATTTTTTCTTTTTTTATTAAATCACCATCAATAACAACAAAAGCAACATAAAAGTTTTTATGCTTAATTAAATAAATAAAATTAATTTTGGATTTTTTAGAACTTTATGTTCTTTTTAATTTATTACAATTTTTTGGTATTTTCGGCATTTAGAGAAAATCAAAGGAAAAAATTTCTAATTTAAAAAAGGAGAAAGGAAGATATGAATCTCTCAAAAATATTAAAAAGTGAAGAAGAAAATCTAAATAATTTGTTGCGGATGATTGGGAAAGTGGAAAATATATTCTGCTAGAAAAAAGGTTAAAAAACATTTAAAATTATTTTTAAAATTAAAAATAAATTAGAAATTAATTAATGATTTTAATTTTACTTTTATTTGGATTATTTTCTTTTTATGTTTTTAATAACAATGAAAATTGGGTACCCGTTTTGAGATTTGAAAGAAATTTAAGCTTTGAGGTGAAAAAATTTTTAAAAATAAAAAAAATTATTTCAGTTAAAATCGTCAAATTCTGATTGGAACAAATGGTTTATTAACTTTAATGAATCCGATGGAAAAATTGTGCCAGAATTTAATAATTTTATTTTTACAAATGTAATGTGTGGACAAATGGGGAATCAAGTAAATTAATTAATTTTGGACTTTAAAAATTTTTTTAGAAACCCTAGAATTTTTTAAATTTCTGTTATCTTAGAATTTTTTTTTAATTTTTTAAAAATTTTCTGAGGCCCTGGGGGGTTTTTTTTAATTTTCGAGAAAGTTTTTTTTTGTTTTTTGAATGTTTTATAATTATTGGAAAAATTTTTAGAGATCCTAGAATTTTTAAAAATTTTCTTAAAAACCTTTAGAGGCTCTGGGATTTTTTGAAAATTAAAAATGGATTTTTATAAAATTATTAAATTTTTTTTTAAATAAAAAAATTTTTGTTTCATTAAAGATATATCGTTATGCTTCATTATATGCGATGGGAAAATTATTAAAACGAACACCAGTTTATTTACATAATGAAACAATTTTGTTAAAAATGGAAGAAGAATTTTCAAAAATATTTCCAAATTTCTATAAAAGAATTTATTATTTGGTAATTTTATTTTTAAATAATTTTAAAATATTTTTAAGAGGCCAGATTTTGATGAAATTGAGAAGTTTAGATTAATTCAATCTTGTTGTGATTTTGTCGATCCAGAAATGTTTGTTTTTAATTATCTTAATGATTGTGGGGGTAATTCACCGTCCGAACAAAATAAACAAATAAAACTTGAAAATAAACATGTTTTACAATTTGTAAAAAGTTTATTTTTAAAGTTTATTTTAAATTTGTAATATTAAAACTTGAAACTTTTACAAATTGTAAAATAAGTTTATTAAAAAAATAAACTTAATTTGTTAGAAAAACAAGTTTATTTTTTAATAACTTGAAGCTCTCATACTGTTTTAAACAAACTTGTTTTACAATTTATTAGTAAACATGTTTTTATGAAAATTTAAAGTTTATTAAATAAACTTTTTTTTATTAAAACAATTTTTTAAGTTGAATTGTAAAAACATTTTATAATTCGTTTTATCCTTTCTTAAAACATTTTTATTTTTTGTCGGACGGTGATTTATCCCTAATCAATTAATTTAATTTTTAAATTTAAAAAGAATATTAAAAACAAATCATTCAACAAGTAAAGGTCTTAAATTAATTGGAGGACCTAATTTTATTAATTACAAATATTTTGATCATTTGAGAAGTGATATTTTAGAGATATTTAAATTCAATGAGGATGTAATATTTAATATTTCACGATTATGGAATAACACAAAATTTAGGTTAATTTTTAAAAATATAATTTAAAAGCAAAAATTATTTTGGTTACCTAAAATATTGTTTTTCGCTTCTAAAAGGCTATAAAATGCCTTTTTCAATGAATTTAAAAATTAATTTCCACGAGCGGTATCGAACCCACGACCTCAAAAATCAGTGCTTTTCTGAGGGAAATTTTGAAAAATTCAAGTTTTTCCGTAGCTAAATTTTATTACAAATAATTTTTCCGTTTGTAAAGAACGTAAGAATGCTCAAAAAGTATATTTCTGTTTTTTTTTCAGTAAATTTTAAAAATAATTTCCCCGAGCGGTATCGAACCCGCGACCCCCTCCCTGACCTCATGAATTACAATTTCCTTTGTTAAAAAAATTTTCTGAGAGATCTCTCGGCCCGAGAGATTCGAGAATCCGAGAGATTAAAATATTTTTGTTTTTTTATATATGATGATTTTTCACACAAACTTTGTGTACATATTCGTGTTGGTGATTTTATTGGATTGGGTGAATCAAAAAGCGAACAAGTTGTTTCTTCTGTTAATTTTATTACAAATAAATTGGCTTCAGAAAATGTTGGAAATGTTTTAAATTTTTCTTTAATTTTGTTTTCAAGTCAAGATCAAAACAATTTTATTGAGAATTTAAAATTTAAAAATGAGGTGAATTTTTTAAGATTTTAATAGATAGTGTCCCCGAGACACATTTTGGTCCACAACTTTTTTGGGCATCGACCATTTTAAACAAGTCTTGTATCATTCGAAAGCTCTTGATCTGCCGATTTTTTATTATTAAAGGAGTGATATGATACAATAATTCCCTTAAAAGTTATAGTCTGTTAAGTCCAGATAATCTAGATTTTCTAATCGTGGTTTTCGACCTATTTTTGCCTCTAACTTTTTAGAGAAGAATCATATCAAATTTATCCCCTTAGGAAAAAGACTCCCCTTGTTTAGAGCTTTCGAATGATACCAAATTTTATTCAAAATGGTCAAAAAACAAAAAAAGTTGTGGAACAAAAGATGGTGTGAAACCACCAAGATTCCCTCGTCCCTTTCCCTAATTTTATTTAATTTTTAAAATTTTTTTACAGTTATTTAACAACATTTATCGAGTATCAGATTTAAAATTATCTCGAGGTGAAGAAATGTGTCTTGCAAATCAAGTTTGTGATTCTTTATTATTGTCCGCGCCGTTTTCAACTTTTGGGTTTTGGATGGCTTATTTGTTGCCGGAAGTGGGTTTTTTTGACAAAATTTTTGTTTAAAAAATCAGAACAGATCAAAGAAATCAGAAAATTAATTTTCAGAACATTAACAAAAATTCTTAGAAAATCAGAAAATTTTTAAGGGCCGCAAAATTTTTTCAATTCGCAAACAAGTAAAAACATTTCCGTTTGCTTTTGATACTTTAAACAATTTACCACCAAATTGGTTTCAAATTGAAGAAAATTTAATTTCAAAAAACATTTAAAAATATTTTAAAAATCTTTTCTTTAAACACCCATTTTTGTTTTGTTAAGTGCAGGAGGAGAGCGTTGAGGGCAGGGACAATACTGAAGAGAAAAATTTTTAGAGCCTAGAAAATTTTTAGTTTTACCTGTCCATCAGCACCAGGCTGTCCAGCGACTCCTGGTTTTCCCGGTTTTCCTTGTAGACCTGCCATTCCGGGTTGTCCAGCAGGACCGACAGGTCCAGGGGGACCTTCTGGGCCTGGCTTTCCGACCTACAAAAAATTTAAAAATTTTTGACTAAAATTTTTTTACCGCTCCCGCAGGTCCATTCTTTCCTGGCAAGCCTGGAGCTCCCTGCTGTCCTTTGGGTCCAGGAACTGTTGGGCTGAATTATTTAAATTTTTTTAAGTTTGTTTAACACTTCTTACTTTGTAACAGCATTTCTACCAGGATGTCCTTTATGTCCTGCCCTTCCAGGCGTTCCTGGGGGTCCGACCGGTCCTTGTGGACCCGGTAATCCTGGAGGACCACTTCCACTACTTCTTCCGGGTAGTCCAGGTTTCCCAGCTTGGCCAGGCTGGCCTGCCTCTCCTGCTTTTCCTGTTTGACCTGGAGGTCCCGCTGGACATCGTTGACATGCTTGGTTTGGTAGTGGGCAAGGGGCTGCTGAAAATGACAAAAATTTTGGATTAAAATCCTCGTTTCCTTGCCTTGCTGTCCAGGCATTCCAGGTTGTCCTTTATGTCCGTCCTGGCCAGCATTGCCGTCTCTTCCAGGCAATCCAGGTGGGCCGGGGGGTCCCGGATGGCCTTTAAAATTGAGTTTTGAATTGATTTTAAATAGAATCCCTTACAAACTACTCGAAGTGGTTGGCATATACAATGACTAGGCAAATCACGTTTTCCTCTAAAAACCGACTCGAGAGGGTTTCCACGTACTTTACTTTGAGGGATTCCAATTAATTGTAATTCCATCAGATCATTCCAAGAAGAATCCGTGTCCACACGAAATGCCTAAGTTCAAAAAATTTTTTCAAAAAATCCCTGCCCTAACCTGCACTCCATCCTGAACTCGATCACTCAACTGATTAATTTGAAAATAAAGTTGAGGGAGTACAATTAGAGTTGATAAAACTGCCAATAGAGAGCTTAAACAAGCAATTCCAATAATCGCTTTTGTTTCGTTCATTTTTCTAATTTTCTGAATAAATTTGTCAATGTTCCTCTACTGAATGGCCCGATCAGTTTTATTCGTAAAGATATTTAAGAGGTTGGACTTGCAAAAAATTGTTTTACTTTTTGTTTGATTTTTGATCAGTAGTCGTTGCAAAAAGTTGATATTCGATAGAACATTTAACGGAGTAAATGGCGCAAAAAATTTCGTGAAAGTTGTGCTATCCTTCCTATATATCACCTTCAAGAAAATCAAATTTTTTGGAATTTCCAACCCCTTCAGATCATCTTTAAACCCAATAGATCATCTTCTAAAACATCACAATCAACTTCAAAATTTGCTTCACCCTATAGATCACCTTCGAGAAAATCAAATCCATATTTAGTTTGATAAACCCTATAGATCACCATCAAAAACATCAAATCCAATCACCAAAATTTGCTAAACCCATAAGATCAACTGCGAAAACATCAAATTCCATTTTGAAAATTTGGTGTACCCTATAGATCACCTTCAAAGACGACAAATTCCATCTTATGAATGTGATTTACCCTAAAGATCACCTTCATAAACGACAAATTCAATCATGAAAATTTGCTAAACCCTACAGATCATTTTTAGAAGGCCAACTATGATTGATCTTCAGGAATGGCTATACATTTCCTTTTTTACCATAAAATTTTTTTGTAAAACACCCAATTCCTGTTTTACTTATTTGGCTAGAATATATTGGAATGTACAGAGGAAACGTTTAATATTTATGTTAATTATTACAACAATTAATGACACAAAGTTTTTATTAAATCAAAAAATGTTTGTAGAACATAAACTTGTTTGGCTTTAAAATAAAAATTAAAGAAAATTATTTTTTCTAAAGACGCTTCTTTGTTTTGACGACAGTTGAGCGTGGAGGACAAGGACAATACTAGAAATTTGAATTAAATTTAAAATTCTTGCAGTCTCCTCTGTCTACCTGTGCATCCGCTCCGTGTTGCCCTGGAGCCCCACTTGGGCCTTGCTTACCAGGAAAACCAGGTTTTCCGATTGCACCAGGCGGTCCCAAAGCTCCAGGCGTTCCTTGAGGTCCGTGCTTGCCGGGCTAATAAAAAATAAGAATAAATCTCAAACTAATCAAATTTACTTGTCCAGGCGATCCTGGCTTTCCAGACAGTCCTGGTGCACCAGGCGGACCTTTCGGTCCTGGCACCGTTGAACTGAAGATTTAAATAAATTCTAAATTATCCAATGACACAGGTATCTCACCGAATAACTCCAGATCTTCCAGGGGGTCCACGCGAACCAATACCCCCAGGTTTCCCTGGGGATCCAGGTGGTCCTCTTGGTCCAACAGCTCCTGGTGGACCGACACCGCTACCTTCAAATTAATAAAAGTACAATTTATTTAGAACATATTTCTTTCACTTTTGCCAGGAGGGCCATGAGGACCAGGCCTTCCAGCATGTCCAGGCGGTCCTTGCTTTCCAGGAAGTCCAGGAGGTCCAGCAGGGCAACGTTGACATTCATAACGAGGCGCTGGACACGGAAAAGCTGCAGAAAATAATTTTAAAAATTGGAATTTCAATCAGTCAACTCGCCTGGCAAGCCTGGTTGGCCTCTCTGCCCTGGGCGCCCACTTTGGCCTGGCCTTCCATTCTGACCGGGAGGTCCAGGGGGTCCTGCAGGGCCGGGCATACCTTTAAAATGAGATTAAATTTGAATTTTTTCAAGATTTTTACAAGTAAGCTGTAAAGGTTGACATATACAGTAATCAGGCAATTGACGTTTAACGCGAAAAAGAGACTGAAAACTTTGACTTTTTGCTTTGCTAAGGGGAGTTGTAGCTATTTGTAAGTCCATCAATTCATTCCAAGCAGAATCTGTATTGACTCGGAATGCCTAAAAAATTTTTCCTCCTCACAAATTTACCTGAACTCCATCACGTACACGAACGTTAATCTCATTAATTTGTAAATAAAGTTGGGGTATAACTACTAAAGTAGCAAAAACAGCCAAAAATGAGCTTAAGCATGCAATTCCTAAGACTACTTTAGTCTCTTGCATTTTTTTGACTAATTAAAATTACAATTGTAAAAATGTTGGGAAATAAAACTTTTCCAGAATTAAAATCAGAATTCCAACCTTTTTGAAATCAGAATTAATGAAATCTTAAATTACAAACTTAAACTTTCCGGAAATAAAGCAACTTTATAGGTGTATAGAAATAAATCAGAATTAAAATCAGAATTTCGAAAAAATAAAATAAAAATTACAAAATCAGAATTACAACCTTTTCAGAATAATATCAGAATTACAAACTTAAAAAATAAGAATTACAAACTTATGACTATAGCCTTTTCGGAAATCAGAATAACACTTCCCCCTTTTCAGAATTATTGCAACCTTTTCTAGTTTGTAAAAAAATAATAAAATCAGAATACAATACTACAAAAGGAAAAATACATACTCTCTACTTATCAGAATTACAAACTTGGACAAAAACATATTGTGTGTTTGTGTTGTTTTTGCTGTTCGTTCTTCGCCCTTTTATAAACGTCCAAATTTACCCCCAACCTTTTTAAATGCCCATTCTAATCTAATCAAAAAAATTAAAAAATTTTGCTTAAACGTTCGTTCCTCTTTTTAATTTTATTCAATTTATTTTCGCATGGCCAATTATTTAAAAACAAAAAAACTTTCTCTCTGTAGGGAGTCTTATTTTGAAAAATATAAAAATTTTTTCAGCAAATTTTACCTATTTTTGGTCTTTTCTGATTAACAAAGAGAAAATTAAAATTAATTTTTTTGTATTTTTCTAAAATATGTACTAAAATACGTAAAGAGAATTAGTAATACAAAATTTTGTAAAAAAATTAATTTGTAAAAAATTAATTTTTGGTTTTGTGTATATTTTTGTTTTTCTGATTTCTTTTTCAAAAGAATTTAAAATCCAATTTTTATATTTACTAAAAAATTAATTTTTAAACAATTTTTTACTGAATTTACAGGGTGCGGCAAAAGTTCCCGTACTTTTATTAAGCATAAAATTTATTTCAAATATTTTTTTTAATTTTATACAATCTACGAAAAATTATTCATTACTATCTAAGGAAAAGAAAAATTGTAACAAATGTCCAAAATTTCTTCCCTCCTCCAAGATATACGCGTCCAAACGCTAACTGAATTTGCCCACTATGGTCGCGCACTCATCCTCAATAATTGAATCCCAGCCCAGTTGTAATCCATCTTAATTGCATTTTTTGATATAAATCGTATCCATGGAAGTCTCTGCTCCAATAATTACTAAACTACTAGTCCATAGCATTCAGATCTGGGGAGTTACTTGGTTAAATAGCTTTGCCCCAAAATCCTGTTAACAACTCTTCGCAGAGGTCAATCATTGTTTTTGCTCAATGTGAAGGGGTCCAATTTTTCTTCAACATAAAATTGGTTTTACCGAAGTGTTGCTATGTCCAGGGATGCAATGGCACAAATCCCGTCCAACACCATTGTTGTTGTGCCCAGGGATCCATTGTTGTTGTGCCTATGGATCAAGTGGTCTAAATCCCGCCCCCACACCATTACAGATTGTGGAAAAAGGCTCTTCTGAACGATTTTGGAAGCAAGGCCTTTCCTTGGAAGCAATTGCCTATGATTTTGTCTGTTGTGAAGGACAAGGTTGCAACTAGCCTGGGATTCATTTATTGTGGATTAGTCGCGACCATAATGGGCAAATTCAGTAAGCCTTTGGACGCGTATATCTTGGCGGAGGGAGGACATTTTGGAAATTTATTATAATTTTTATTTTCCCTAGATATTAATGAACAATTTTTCATAGAATTTATAAAATTTAATAGAATATTCGAAACAAATTTTTTGCTTAATAAAAGTACGGGAACTTTTGCCGCACCCTGTATAAGGGATATTCAAACCTTGAGGCCATATTTTGGGCCATAACTTTTTTAATTCTTAACCAATTCATATAATTATTGAACCAATCGAAAGCTCTGGATGTGAGGATTATTTTATTTATTAAGTGTGTTCAGATCAGATCACTCTACAAAAAGTTATAACCCAATAAAGATCAAAAATCACGATTGTGTGTACTTATTAGGCTATAACTTTTTGTAGCTTGATCTTATCAAATCAATCCTGTTAGCTAAGATAATCCTCACATCCAGAGCTTTCGATTTATATAAAAATTAATCAAATAGGATAAGGCCTAAGCAAGTTATGGCCAAAAATAGACCCATGGCATTTTTGTCTATTCCATGGTTAAGTGGTTTCGTTGTCAGACTTGGGAAGGTAGGGTCATGGGTTCGATCCCTTTTGATGGTCAATATTTTTATTTATTATTTAAAAGTAGAATAATAATTTAAGTATTAATGATTATTCAGAATGACCAAGAATCAAAAAAGTTATGACCCAAAATATGGCTTCAAGACTGAAATATCCTTTTACAAAATATTATTATCTTATCTTTTCTTCATTTACTTTTTAAAAATTCATTTTCTTACGTAACCATACACAAGGGAGATTTTGTATTTATTCCATCCATTTCATCAGCATTTGTCATTCCTCTTCCACTATTATTTTGTGTCTTTAATTGACTGCTGCCACGCAAATCCATTCCAGATGCTAATTCTTCATAACCATCAATGCTGTTTATATTCTCATCTTTTATTTAAAGGAATATATAAATTTTTAAATAGTATACACTCAAACCTCGCTATAAGATGCCCTAATAGACTCACTATAAGGGCTGAAAAAATGAGGTATCGAAATTTCTTCAGTCTCGAGACCTCTACTTTGGAACATAACTTTTTTGATCCTTAACCGTTTTAAATAATTTTTATAGCAATCGAAAGCTCTGGATATGCGGATTATTTTGTCTAGCAGGATTGTTCTAATAAGATCATCCTACAAAAAGTTACAGCCGCTTAAGTGGGCGCAATCGTGATTTTTTTAATTTTATGGTCTATAACTTTTTGTAGAGTATCTGATCAAATCAGTCAAGTTAAATAAAATAATCCTCACATCAAGAGCTTCCGATTGATATAAAAATTATTTAAATCGATAAAAAATCAAAAAAGTTATGGCCCAAAATATGGCCACGAAATCGTTGTTTATTCCGTGGTTAAGTGGTTAACGTATCAGGCTTGGGCAGGTAGGGTCATGGGTTCGATCCCTTTTGATGATAAACTTTTTTTAAATTTTATCCCCTTAAAACTAAAATATATTAGAGGGTATCTATTAGTGAGGTTCGACCATATTTAACAATCTTCAACAAACCTCTAACTCTGTCAATTATTTCCCATACAGATTTTTTGAATGATCGCAATAAAAAGAATGTCCTCATCAATCCTTTGCCTTTAATTGGTACTTGTCCACGACAAACAAATTCGAAACGGCCAGTTCTCTGGGCAGAACGAGTAGCAGACTCGCTTGTGTGAACCATGCCTTCTAAAAAAGTTAAATTAGTAATGTATCAAGATTTGCGGATTGTCCGCAAATATGAAAAATGTCGCCACCAAATAAAAAACAAACGTGGTGAATGACTTTCCATTCTGGCAGCAGTATTTACAGTGTCTCCAAAAAGACAAAAACTACAAAATTATTTTTAAAAATTTTTATTAAATAACAAACCGAGGCATCTTAACCCCAACAACACCAGCAACTATATTTCCTGTATGGATACCACAACGAACACGAAGTCCATTTTTTGAAACTGGATCCATTACACCTCTAGCTTCCCAGATCTAATTTTAAAAATTTTTAACAAAAAATATTGTGGACGTCCGCAAGAATGAAAAATATTTGCGGACAGTCTTCAATATATTTGCGGATTGTCCGCAAAAATAAAAATTCTTTTCAAACCATTCCTAGAGCCAAATGACATATTCTTTCACAATGATCACTAACAGACTCAGGAACACCACCAACTGTCATATAAGAATCACCAACTGTTTCGACTTTGTAAACCTTTTGAAAATTAAAAAAAAATTTTTTTGAATTTTTAATTAAAAATTTTACATCGTGCAAGGTAACCAATCGATCAAATTTTGTAAACAAATCATTCAAAATTCTAACAATTCCTTTTGGTTGACAAAAAGGAACGATTGATTGGAATGCTGGGACATCACAAAAAAGAACTGTGGCTTCTGGGTATTCTCCTTTAAATTATAAAAAAAAATTTTTGCGGACTATATTTGCGGACAAATTTAAAATTATGAAGGTGAAGGATAATTTAGAGTTTGGATTGTCCGAAAATTTAGAGTCTCGAAATAATGGAAAAATATGAATATATTTAAATAAGGATTGCCAATCCTTGGTAGAATCTACAAATATTTTCAGGTTTTGCGGACTATCTGCAAAAAATTGCGGATTGTCCGCAAAAAATATAAAAAATCTTTTTGCAGACAGTCTCAAAAATTTCTAAAATTTATGAAAAATAGAATAAAAAACTAACGTGCATCAACACTATATCCATTAATTAAAGCTTAATAAATTTTCAAAAATTAAAAAAAATTTTTTCTTAATTATAAACCTGTAGCCACTGAAGCTGGCAACATTTCTCTCAAAAGAGTATCCGTCTTTTTCTTTTCAGCTTCCAAATCTCTTGCCATTTGTTCCAATTGTTCGTTGTTTGCTTCCAATTGAAGACTTAAAAAATAAAATTTAAATTTTTGCGGACAATCCGCAAAAATTTTTTCTTTACGGACAATCCGCATATATTTGCGGACAGTCCGTAAACACAAAAATTTCTAATTTTTCATTAAAAAATTAAAAAAAAACTTTGCTTCAACATCAGAAAGTCGTTGTTGATTTAATAAAATTAAATCTCTAGTAGCATCATGTAAAGGTATTGAACTTAAACGAAGTCCATATTTTAACAATTCTGGAATTGATGTTACATATGGAGAACATAAATACCTTTTCAAATTATTTTTAATTTTTTGAAAAATTTTGTTTCTTACATTAATTCATTTCCACTACTCATCATCATCATTTGGCCTAAAAAATTAAAAAAATTTTTTTGCGGATAACTTTTGCGGACAAATTTAAAAATTTGAGAATTAATTAAAAATTAAAACTTTCAAAATAATGACAAATAAGGGTATATCTAATCAAGGATTGCCAGTCCTTAATAAAATTTACAGCTATCAATGAGGGGAAAGAAAGCTACTTTTTGAAAATCCTTCTTAAAAAATCCGCAAATTTTTTTGTCCGCATTTTTCTGTCCGCAAATTTTTAATCCGCAAAATTTTGTCCGCAAATTTTTAATCCGCAAAAATTAAAAAGAAAATAAAAACCTTTTAATTTTAAATGTTGTGCATGCATAGCAACAGACAATTCTTCAAACCCTCCCTCATTAGAAGTTGGGGGTAAATCTGTTGGTGAG